AAAAAAAAAAAAAAAAGAAAAGCAGATGTAATAGTACATACTGAGTCCATTCATATGAAATTCTACCAAAAGCAAAATTTAAAGTTAATAGAATAGTATTTTTCAACCTTTTTTATCTCACACACCCTTGAACCTATAGTTAACCTTCCATGGTACACTTAAATTATGTTACCAAAAAGGGGGTAAAAAAAAAAAAAAAGAATACACTTACTGTGCTTTGAACTTATTTTGAAAATAATTTAAGTAATGATCTTTAAAAAATGTTACAGCACAGTGATTGAAAATCACTGTAAAATAGGCAGACCACTTGTCAGGAACCAATGGGTCTTGGGAGGCAATTGACTACAGAGAGGCAGAAGGGATTTTTATTTATTTATTCATTTTTGGTCATACTGGAATGTTCTAAATCATAATTATAGTAGTGATCACTTTAGTAAGGCTGATTTTTTTTAACATCTTTTTTCTTGGTCACTTAATCTTTGCCAAGCTCTTTGTCCCTCAGGCCCACTCCATCATGTTACCTAGAACTCTATCTCAACTTTTAGGTTTCACCTTTCCTTTTAGTGCCTTGCCTATCCTGTGGCTATTCTACTAGACTTTTCCTGATCAGTAGTATTATTAAAAAATAACTTTTTAAGGTCCATTCTTTCTATGCTGAATTATTTGTAGCCTCAAAAGTAATACATTATGTGCATCTTTGCTAATTTATTAAGGGCAAGGCCTAGAGAAGGCCTCATCTTATATTGGCAGAATAACCATTGTTAATGTAGCATGAATTTTCAAGAGTCTAGAAAAGTTATTTTTCTTTTCCAAAAATAACTTTCTTCCCCATATAATTTTGGAAATGTATTTCCAGATTTATTAAACCTAGGCAGATTAAGGCCTAGATCTCCAGTTTGCTAAATTAATCTCTAAGAATGGTTTAAGGAATGGTATTTTTAAATAACAAGTGGCTTTCCTGATTAGTCAGGCTTAGAAACTACTGGTTTGAGGTACTGTTAACCCCATGTTTGAAAAATTAATACATAAAATTTCCTTCCCATACCTTTAATCAGACTTCACTAAGATGTATATATGCAGATGTTATCAGAAGTCTTTGCAGAAGACTTTTTCATATGCCATTACCTACTTTCTCATTACCACCGTTGGTTTTTTCACTCTCTAAAGGAAGCAGGGGATTAGGGGGCTAGTTTTACTTGTAGCCTAATATATGCCAGATATTTTACAAGGGCTCAAATTTAATCCTTGTAGGTGTTAAAAAATGAGGTTCAGGGATGGTAAGTAACTTGTCTAAGGACTCAGCTAATAAGTAGCAGGATTGAGTATTTTATGCTTGACTTTAAAATAAAGGTGTTTTCCTTTATGCTGTACTATACCTCTTGGCTGATAGAACAAATAAGGGGCTATCCTTAATAATTTCTCCTGGCCCATTTGCTCCTAAATTTCTCTGCTTCTTCATCGTTGCATGGCAAGGAAGAAAATAAAAATTCATTGGCACATAATATGTTTACATTTTAACAAAATCTTGACCTCTTCTAATCAGAATGGTTTTCAGTGGTTTGAGTCACTTGCTTGCCTCTGTCAAGTAGGATCACTGGCTATTCTTTTACTAATTGACTTATACTATAACCTAATCAATAACCATTCTTAACTATGATCAATTACAAATTTACTTCTAATATATAACTTTGAGTTACTCAAAGCAACCTTATTTATACTAGAAACTTTTCCTCTATAAAAAAATGTCACAACCTCTTTGACCATAGTTTCCTTTTCAGTAAAATGATGGGGTTGGAACTGATTATTTCTAAGTTTCCCTCTATCTTTAATATTCTGTGAATGTAAGTCTGTTATTTAGGGTACATATTTCCAAAGGGAGAATATTAGGATGGATATTAGATTCCTAGGCTAGTTCACAAAACAAGTCATATACCAAAATATAATCCACATAGAGCTTTATTCAACTGCCTCTAATGGCAACTTATAATATAGTTTTAATGTAATATAGTACTGAAGCAACTTTGACCCCCTTTTCTATTCTATCGTTTAGCACCTTGGGGAAGGACAAGAGGCTGTGTTAAACAGATAGGGTAGGGCTTGGCACCCATAGCTCAGTGGTTGGGGTGCCAGCTACATACACCAAGGTTGGCGGGTTCAAACCCAGCCCGAGCCTGCTAAACAAATGACAATTCCAACAAAAAAACAGTTGGACGTTGTGGCAGACACCATTAGTCCCAGCTACTTGGGAAGCTGAGGCAGGGGAATCACTTGAGCCCAAGAGTTTGAGGTTGCTGTGATCTGTGATGCCATAGCACTCTACTGAGGGTGACAAAGTGAGAGACTCTGTCTAAAAAAAAAAAAAAGGGTAAAAATTGGAACTAATCAATCAGCACTTACGTGCACATATGGAAGTGAATCTCAGTGAAAATCAAGCTGGCAAGAGGAAGATGGAGGGGATGGGTAGATTCACACTTACTGGGTACAATGCACATTATGTGGGTGAAGGGCACACTTATCTATGTGACTTTGACTCAATCTATAGAAAAACAAAACATGTATACTCTTTAACATTCTGGAAAAAAAATATTTAATTGGGAAAAAAAGAGGGTAAATCATTCTGGGTGTTAATAATCCCACATTTTCATGCAGGCAGAAAGCTACCTATTCTGTCCAATGTGGTAGCTTCTAGCTTCTTTTAACTATTTAAATATAAATTAATTAGATAAAATAAAAAATTTATTTTATCTGTCACATTAGCCTCATTTCAAACACTCAGAAGCCAGAGGAAACTAGTGGCTACCCTATTGGACAGCACAGATATAAAACATTTTATTAGGGCCGAAAGTGCTAATGGGCGGTACTGATCTAGAACTGGACCCACCTATGCCAACCTTTTACTGAAATGAAGGCAGCATATTGTATAATACTTTGATGTCATTGTGTTTGGTTCTCTTATGAGGACAAGTCAGGCCAAATTTATTAATCAATTTAAAGTTACCATATCAAATTTAATCAAAAGCTTTTGACCAGAGTTTGAAAACTTTTTTTGATAACTTTTAATGCTTGGTAGTAGTGTCATGTGATGAAAGTAGAAATGATTCATCTTAAGTGTCTGTAGAGGTAACTTTGAAAAAATACCTTGTAGGCAGCTGAGATTCTACTACAAAATGGAGCAGACCCTAATCAAAAAACTCAAAAACAGAAGACTGCTTTGGATGGAACAGATGATGAAGAAATGAAAGAGTTGTTAAAATCTTATGGTGCTATTGAGACCAATAATAGAGATGAGAGTAATGTTATAATCAATGGTATGTATATCAATATTGCTCTCTATTTTATACAGGTACATACCATGTATGCCTCTGCTTAGGAAAATAAAATCTTCCACTTTGTAGAGTAAGTAGTTTCACAACTGAGGATAGATGTCTTCTATGTTTATTAAAATCTTGAAAAGCCATTATTTATTTTTAGAAATCAGCATTTTCAAATTTGGTTTAATTAACAAATTGTGTAGTCCTGTTGCATTGGTATACATGTTGAAATGAAACATATATCATTCGTCAGTCAAACATTAATATCCCTAACATTGAATATGAAATAGAGATGTAGCTGAAACTAGGTAGTAAGGCTGAAAAAGGGTGATATTATACTGAAATCTTTGCAACTAATGTTCCATTACTCAAAATTTATAATGATTTATACATTAGTTGAACTCATGCCAACTTTTTAAGACTCTAATACTGGCATATTAATCTGTTAAGCAAATATACTTGTATATATATAGTATTATAGTGAAAAAGTATTTTAAGAGAAAATTTTATAAACTATTTTTAACAATAGTTTGCATTTTATTAAGTGTTGAAAAGAAGGAATTATTCTTTCTTTTTCCGTATGCTCAAGCCTTCATTCTAAAAGAAAATACTCAGAAACATACCTGCCCTCTCTATGAGAGAAAAATGCCAGGGAGATAAACCCTGTCACATACTTCTTTCATAGCCTACCAACATTTTTACCAGCTGTTGATTTTCAAAGGATGAAGAACATTGATAAAATTAGTCAAAGCTAAGGATATTCATTTTGTTATATTTTACTAGCAAAATAGCCTACCAACATTCTTACCAACTGTTGATTTTCAAAGGATGAAGAATATTGATATCATTGGTCAAAGCTAAGGATATTCATTTTGTTACATTTTATTAGCAGACTATATCACATGCAGGTTAAAGCCAAGACTAATACAAATTTCTTTTTTTCATTGCTTACTACTATAGAGCAAATAATAGGGTCAGAGCCCCAGCTATTTCACTCTCCATCTCTATAACCATATTTTAAGGTTCCATGATTTAGAGCAACTGGGCTTACTAAAGAAGCCTTACATTTAGAGTTACTGGGTCCTCTGGTAGAAAGTACTATATCTATTCCCACATGTCTGTTGTTTCTTCTTTTCTTGATCAGATACCCAAAAGGAATGAAGGATATAGAGTATAATGGTAATAGGGAAAAAAAGAATCCAGAATGGGAAGAGGATCCAAGAGAACTTTACGGAGGCAAATGAATCATAGAGTGACTAAGAGCACGGAGTTTGGAATCAGATAAAATCTGGTTTTAATACTAGCTGTGTGATGCTGAGCAACTTCCTGAACTCCCCTTAGGTCTCACTTTCCTCTTCTATAAAATGTGTATAATAAATAAACTAATTACCTTAAAGGGTTTATATAAAGATTAAATAAGATGATTCATGGAAAGTGTTTGGCATCCAGCAAGTGCTCAGTAAATCTTAGCTCTAAGTAGTTAATTAATAATGAGGTGCTAATTAACATGAAGATTTTATAATAATTGTGGACTTAATTTATCCTTCCCATCTTCATCACCTTTAAACTGATAAAATGAAGCTAAATTTTCCACATTCTTACTATATTTTCTTAAGTAAAAATTCCTGCTGTCCGGTCAAAAAGACATAAACAGTGCTTTCGTGATGATGGACTAACTGTTGAACCACCTTCCTTTTCACACCAAGGAGAAATAAGAGAAAACCTTCCTGTGGTGAGTAAAGTTGAAATTTTTTCATTCTTCAGCCTAGAAAATTGCATTCCTTTGGGCCACCTAGGTACTGGGTATTGGTAGCTTTCTTTTCATTTTAAGGACACACCAATCCAAAATAAGATTATTTTAAGAAAATACAATAGCATAATTGAACAAAATGAACCAAGAAGGATGCTATCTGATTAACTCTCAATTATCTGAATTAAATGCAGAATTGTGGATTAGCTGCTGTCCTTTATACATAGCTCGAGTTCTCTGGCTATTTCCTGTCCCACAGACCTTTCTACTGTATGAGTGTGTCTTCACTCACTCCTAAAAGTGTCTAGGATACATAGGATGTAGAGATGATTCTGGAACCCACACTCAGAAAAGGAAACCAACTGATTTAGCTTTTCTGGATTCCAAATGGTTTATAGTGAGAGAATTTGCTGTGAAATCCACCATGTAAAGATAGATTTTTGCAAAAATGATGTAGCTGTTGCTCAATAAAATGTATGTTGATTGATGAGGTGGGTTGTTTAGTTTGACAACACAAAGCTTAACTAGCTGCAGACTTCTTAAGCGAGGTCTTATATCTTGCAAGGTCAATATCTCAATGAAATATTATTTTGAATAATATTTATTGGCCCATAGTGGCCAAGACTTAAGTACATCCACAATAAGAGCAAGACAAAAGGGAAAGTAGGTACCAAAAGATGTTTTGTTTTGTGAATAGATGCTTAGCTGGGGCACAAGTTTAGGCCTTTAGTTTGCTTTTATCACCATAAGCCACAGTGTTAATAGGTGAACATTAGGGTTTTTTGTTTTGTATATTTTATAGTTTCACTTGGATGCATTTAATAAATGACAGCCATAAGATTGTTTTACTACATAATGAGATGATTTTCTTAAGTACCTTTTTTTATATCCCTTGTGGGCACCAAAGTAAAATTTCAGATAAACATACTTTAGAAAGTTTTGAGGACCTACATGTTTTAGAAATGAATGTGTATCAAAAGATAAGATAGGTCAGTCCGGTCACCATTATGGAGCAACAGCTATGTGGAAACCATACACAAATATAAAAGCCGTCTTTCTGCCTTGATGGGGAAATATAACTGTAAGACATAATAATATATATGTTAAGTTATGTAGAATGAAATCCTTAAATAATTCTTAGAAAAGAGAAATCAGTATGGAATAGATAAATCGTAAGTTTTGTATGTAAGATGGGTTTCATATATAAGCAGTATTTAATGAGCTCTTACTTTGTATTGGCCCTGTCCTTAGCATTTTACATGTGTTATTTAATTTGGGCACAGATAGGATAATCAACTTGCTAGAGTCACCCAGCTTAGAAGACGTGGAGCCAGGATTCATATGGAGGAATCTAGTTTATGTCAGAGGCCCCTCTACAATTGTCTCTCTCGTGAGAAAGAAAATGATCTGGGGATAGTGAATTGAAAGCATTCCAGACAGGAAAATTAGTACTGACAAGGACTTGAAGAGGTGGTATAAAGTTCCCTTCAAGAGTTTTTGAGGGAGTAATGTTTTTATTTCTAAGATTATATGTGAGATTTTAATAGTGTGCAATGAGAGTCATACAGCCTTAAAGTGAATGTGTTGCATGCATGTGATCTTTAAATATTATTGCTGAGTAATTTATTTTTTTCTCCTGTGAATATAATTGTCACAGAAGTCAATGAAAAATTATAATATTTTTATATAGTTGCTATTCTTGCATTCTATTTTCCAGGAGATCTACATAAATCAAGATACATTTACTTTTTTTCAAATCTCCAACATTTATACAGTTGAGGCTGTACAAAGCATGAGTAGATTTTGAGCATAAAGAGAAATGAGCATTTTTAGGAGCACCTTCTTTAGCTCTTTATTTACTGTGTATTAGTACCATATCAGAGAACACATCTATTCCATTATAATGAAGGTTCTAATATTTTTTATCTGATAGCATCAGACGCTTAGTGCCATTCTACAAGATATAGAAGAAAAACAAGAAGATTTATTAGCATTTGAAATACTAAACCCTGAAGATGCAGGTAAATATGAACTCATATTTAAGTATGATTATTTTAGACATCCAAAGTCATTGCTACCTCATCTTCTTAAGGTAGCAATGTTTTGTGTAGCATCAATCTTTTGTGTAGCAAGATACAACTGTTTACTTCAAAGCTCACAAGGGCTGAAAAATGGTGTTCTGTTTTTATGTGAGAGTATTTAAAGTGCCAGGAATTATCAACAGTCATACCAGTAGTTTGCAATGATGCAAATCAGTAGTTTGTGTAATTATTGATAAGGGTTAATTCTACCCTGAATGAGAGACATTCAGAACCATGAACAGAGATAAGCTACAACTGGTAATATGTTTAGATGAAGATATGACAGAAAGCATAAGTTAGAGACTAGGGATGAGATTATGGAGTTTTGTGTTTTGTTTTGTTTTGGTTTTTTTAGAGACAGAGTCTCACTTTATTGCCCTGGGTAGATTACTGTGGCGTCACAGCTCACAGCAACTTCCAACTCCTACTCTGGTTCCATAGCTTTACCCAGCCCTGGTAACCCTTAAAAATAGATCAGAAGAGGAATGTGCAGTGATGACACAAGCAAAGCAAATCCTCATACTTTTATGAAAAGCACATATACCAGGTGGATGTTGTACTGCAAGGATGATTCAAAATAGCAAATAATCATGATTTCTAATAATCTTAATTTCTCAAAATTTCACTAATATTTACAAGCCCCTAATGATTCTCACTTGTATTTTTTAAGCTATGATTTATAACTCCTGATACGAGCTATGAAATCCTGATACAGTTATGATTTATAACTCCTGAGCTATGAAAATAGCTCCTGATATATTCAGATCTGAATTTTAAAAGTTATTTAGAAGTAGTTACTAGGCTCGGCGCCTATAGCTCAACCGGCTGAGGCGCCAGCCACGTACACCTAGGGTGGCGGGTTCGAATCCCCAGCCCGGACCCGCCAAACAATGGTGACAGCTGCAACCAAGGGATGGCCGGGCGCTGTGGCGGGCGCCTGTGGTCCCAGCTACTTGGGAGGCGGAGGC